AGATTTCCATCCTTCCTACTGGCCTGCCCCAGAATAAGCCCGTTATCCCACTTTGAGGGAATGACCTCGCTGACTTGGATCAAGTATTCTGTGATGATGTGCAGCACTTGCCTGTGAACTTTCAGCCATGGCAGGTCTGCGAACAGACAGTACTTGATAGTTCTCCACTGGCTTCTGTTCACCTTGCTTTCTAATTTGCTCCTCATCTGTATCTCATTATATGTCCAGATTTCTGTTACTTATCTGCTGCACTATCACAGCTTCAGCAAGCTTACATTTTTTTTCCCCAGATTGGTGTTCTCCCTGATCCCATAAAGAATTACAGTGCATTGCTCATTTTACCTCAGGGTACCTTCCCTTCATGGGAAACTCCGTCTCAAATATCTTGTTTCAGCTTTTCTAAGGGAAATTTGGTTTTGTGTCCGCGTCCAACGTTGAATCTCTCATACAAACTATCTAGTCTGCCCAAATAGGATTAAACAGTGAGAGGATGAGAAATAGCTTTATGCAAACAGCAATTCTTTTGTAAAACATCAGGGTGCGATTGCAAATGCTATTGTTTTTTTCAGGGCTGTGGTAGAGTCTATCACCACAACTTCAGTCAGAGCATGACACGGGGAACCCGAACCAGGGGAGTTGAACACGGTCATTCATTTCCAGATAATAATCTGAGTCTGTTTCTGGCGTTAAGACATCTGAAGCTACTTAGTATTTCAGCAAGTAGAGTGGTTTGCTGTAGAGAGAAGCCCTTAAGTAGAGGGATTGTAGAAATTTTTGGTAGGGTACATGCAGTTAAAAGCCTCAGAAAAGGTCTGTGAAGAATTTATTTCATTTTCAGCTGCTGTTTTTCTGGTAGTGTTATAAGCTCTGGCAGGGTGGAGCAGTTTATGACTGCTACTGTGCCCTTCAGTGGTGGCCCAGTCCTTAAGGCATGCCAGACTGCAGTGGAGAGCCTTCTCCTCCCCCCAGCTCCTCTGTTACAGGAACTAGACAGGCATACTTGTGGTCTCTCTTCCCAGACAGCTTTCTTCCAGGACCCAGGCTCTAATGAATCTCAAGATTAGGCACAACAATGAGCAACGCGGGAGACTGGGCCACTGACGCGGTAATTGCAGTTATTCCCAGGTTTCTGGGAAGCCCAGCGTAGCTCAGAGCTGAGCCAGAGGTTGACAGAGAGTCAGCGGAGATTTTAGTTAATCCCTTTGAGCTCTTCAGAAAGACCACCTGGAAATCCCATAGGATGTCAGTCCAGGCCCACCCTTTGCAGGGCTGAAGCATTGTTTGTGGCAGCCTTTGTTTAGCAAGGGGGAGAGGGGAAGCAGCTGCTGAGTCTTCAGGTAGACAGAAAAAGCTTTCAGAGATGCTGACTTAGAGACTGGTAATTCTGTCTTTGATACTGGCAGATCTGGAGACACAGATTTTATCCTGGAAAAGGTCCCTGCGGGTTGGGGTTCAAAGCTCCAGTTCCCCCAGCAAGGGGACGGGAGGGCAGCCCGCACCTACTCAGTTGCATGGCCTCCAGCATCAGTGCAGAGGCACAGAAATGACCGGGGTAGCCTCAGAGAGGAAGAGCTGCAGCTGTATAATCGCTGCGTGCCAAGCCACAAACGCCTCGGGGGACGTTCTTGCGGAGAGCACCTGGCTGAGCTGGAATATGGTCTGTCTTTTCTATGGATGTAAATTCTAGGCCTTATATTCCTCATCACCTGAGGAATCGTAGCTGACCCTCTTGCCTCCTTTAGGCAGAGCCTTCACACAAGCCCAGGCAAAGCCAGCCTCACAAAGACTGGACCTATGCCCACCTCCTGCTCTGGAGTTTCTAGCCTGCTCTTTTTCTGCGATTCTGCAGTAGAGTGCAAGTTAGAGCAGCTCCAGCATTTCCCATAAGGAGGAGAGTGCAGAAGAGTTGGTGTAAAGCCCCTTTGATTTAGCCTTCTCCAAGGAGAAGGTGGGTTGGGAATTCACTTGGCCAGAAGGTAACTCTTGGGAGTTGCTGGGAGGCGTGGGAAACTAAAGCTAGGAGTTCTAAAATCTCATCTGGAGTCTGTCCCACAGTCTTTAATTTATTATCTGGAAACGTGGAAAATGCAAGTATCTCTAATTAAAAATGAGAACCATTTGCATGTTGTGGTCAATGCAGATTTATTTCTGACAGTATAATAAATTCAGCACAGATTGGAACCAGCTGCCACGGCTCTAAGTACCTGAAGTTCCCCTTCCACATCACCAGGCGTAGGACTCGGATGCAGTCGTGCCGTAAGTCTCACTGACCGAGAGGACAGCTCAGCATTGTCCTTGCTTACACAAGGAAATAAATGTTCCTAGGCAAGGACTGGCAAGGGAGCTTGGTCATGGAAAACCTGAGCGCCAAATCAATCTACTTAAAAAGTGATTGATTCCTTCAGTGCAGAGAGGAAGCAGGAACAGGGCTTATGTATAGAGGGGAACACATTTTATGAAGAAGTAGTCTCTTTGACTACCATCCTTCAATAAATCTTCATTTGGGCTCCTGTCATTCCTGAAAGTCATAGTGCAGAGAGGAACATAACCTATTCTAGCTGGAAGAAAGAGACAAACAAAGGTAGAGACACTGATCTTCCCCAAACCACAGCTCTGCCCCCACATGCCGAGTCTCATTGCATCCAGGCAAAACACACTGGAGCAGTAACCCTGGAGAGGATCCTGCAGCTTTCCACCGCTCTACATACACAAAGTCTTTCTCACATGCAGGAGTAGGTCAGTAGAGCAGGCTATTTCACTTTGCCCATTTCCCTTCTGCCCCATCTCATCTACTTGGATTGTAGGATTTCTGGAGCAGGACTACCTTGCAGGTTACAGCTACACAGATTTTTATTGCTGCCTCGCAAAAAGCAATGTAAGCATTGCAGCTTTTGGTCCACATGCCTCATGTAACTACTCAGTGAAGTGGCTTTATTACCCCAGCTATGGGAGAGTCTGTATTGTGCTGAGCTCTCTGCACAGATGCCAGATAAATCGTTGGCATTCTCCTTCCTGACAGTTGTGAAGAGATGTTTATCACAGAGAGGCATGGAAGGGGTCAGGGAAAGATTTTAGCTGAAATTATGTTACAATAGGAGACCTTCAGTTTCTGCCCTTTGTAAATGTGGAAGCCATGTAGTCAACGTTTCCATCTACGGTGTGATAACATACAGCCAGACAAAAATTCTCATAGGAAATAGGTTGAGGTGATCATTTGGAAGAAGCAAAAAAGGTATTTTAGAAAACCACGTCTGTTTCTTCTAAATTTTGTTTTTCCCTTGAGCACCTCAGCCACTGGCCACAGCATTTGGTCCCTGTCAGGCAAGTCAACTCCACCCAGAGCATCTGAGTACAGCAAAGAGTTTCGTTACATTGTTTTTGAAATCAACTGCTGTAGATTAATCACTAGAGAGTAAAGCACCAGGTAACACAGTGCTTTTATGCAGCAGAGGAGGTTACTTTCAACATGCTCTAGCTATCGCCAAGAAGAGACACTATGCACTAAGTTACAACTTAAAAACATTTGCATAAAACCAGCTGCATCTCCTCTGCCCAGAGGATTTTCTCTTGGCAGATGCTGCAGAAACGACAAGTTCTCAGGCAGGAATTACGCTGCAAGATGAAGAACGTTTTGGCTTTATTACGCTATGAAAGAGCATAAAGCCAAGAGACCGTCAACCAAAATAGTGAACAGAGCACATTTAGTGATGAGCAAACCCTGCTGAGTTTGCTCTCACATCCATCAGTTACGCTTTGCAGACCAGTTCTTCGCAGCAGGTCTATCAGCAGCTGCCACAAACCAGCATGTTGTTCTGATAGTAGCACTGATACAACTTCCTTGAGCCCTTACTTTAACATAGCAGACTTCTCTCTCCCTCACTCACTCACACTATTCATTTTCTTCTACTAATACTGAAACATTGTCAGCATTTTCAGCTTCATAGACTCCTTCCAATCACTGTCCCATGTTAAACTCATTGCTGCATTGAACACCACTCACAGCTGTATTTCAGTGAACACAAAATGAGTTTTTGCATGGGCTAATTTGCCAAAGTCCCTGGGAGCTTTTAGGCCATCAAGACATGAAAGGGGGAAAAAATTGTAAGGAAAAATCCCCAGCTAAAACATAGACACCCCCCCCTTAGCTGGGAATTGTAGGGGCACGGCCAACAACAGCCTGCTGCAGTGATGTGTGGGCCAGAAAAGCTCAGGTTTTCCAAATTTAAAGCAAGGCATGTTGGGAGAGGGAACAATCCTCTCCTGAGCATAGTGGGGTGGATGGAGAAAGGGGATGGCAGCAATTGCAGGAGTCTCTGGTTCTGAGGCACTTCTGAAAATGATTTGTGTGAGGGTTGAAGGGTGAAGAGCTTGGATCTGAGCTGACTACTTTAAAAAAAAACCAAACAAAACAAAGAGGAGTTTATTCTTTGAAGTGCAGCTCCAGTGTGTGATATGCATTACCCCCAGTTTCCCTGCAGGCAGGCCTCCACACAACCAAGCACCGTGGCTTTTCTTTGTTCTCCTGACCACAGAGACCATCTCCTGACTGTCAGGCAGGCAGTGTGAGCTGTGGTCTGCTGTTCTATCTGATCCCGGGCTGGGAGTGATGCTGTGGGATCAGACTGTGGCTGGGGTCACTGTCACACGTGTCCAGCTTGACAGCCCTTCTCCACAACATGCTGTGAGATCCCAGAGGCATTCTCCCTCCCCTGCATAACAGTCTTGGAGAGAAGTTTGAATTTTGAAGCGTGTGAGCCTGACGTGGCCTCATGGGGCTCCTGGTGAGCACTGGCCCAGGCTGCCCAGAGAGGTTGTGGAGTCTCCTTTTCTGGAGACATTTAAAACCCACCTGGACATGTTCCTGTGTGACCTGGTCTGGGTGATCTTGCTCTGGCAGGGGGTTGGACTGGATGAGCTTTTGAGGTCCCTTCCAATGCCTAATATTCTGTGATTCTGTGAGGAGTCAGGTTCTCCAGCTAACCATCCTCTGTTTCTGTCAGGACAGTAGTGAGGCAGCAGGTGGAGCTGGCCCCTGGGATGAAGAAGTCACCAAGTGGTGGGGAGAGTGGAGCTCCTGGTCCACCTGCTCCCGGTCCTGTGGGGGAGGCGTGATGTCCCGGGAGAGGCACTGCTTGAGACAGAGGTGAGTCCTATCCCAGGCCTCGAGTGGCAGAAGGGAAACAGGGTGCCCCAACCTGCATTTTGGGGCCAAACCTGGGTTGGAAGTGCCATTGCTTCTCTCTTCTGCAGCCTCTCAGAAAGGAAGACGGCTGCTGCCTGTGGGGTAGGTGGTGAGCAAGTGGTGGTGAGGAGGGCTGTGGAAGGAGAACCATGCTGCAAAGGGGCAGTCAAAAGGCCCAGACACCTTCTGGGGACATGATTAACTCCTGACAGCAGCCAGATCAGCCACGTCTCAGCAATTTCCCCTCTCTGTTCCCTGCAGAGCTTGCAGGTCTTTTTCCACTCTGTCGTTTATCTGGCTGTCACCTGACAGCATCTCCATTTGTGCCCTACAGCTGCTACAGTCCTGGTATCAGCTGGACAGGTTTTGTGGGAGTGCAGAGGGCTGGGGAGTTTCAGCTGCTTGAACTCCTGCTGTCCCCTCTATGTCACCTTGCCACCAAACCCTTCTCCTTGGGCACCTCACTAACCTGCTGCGCCAGGCTCCTACGATGTTAATGAGAGCTGGCATCCTGCAGCACAGCAAGCCCACAGAGGCTGCCCGCCCCATGCTTGGCCCCTTTCCCTTCTGCGTGAATGCACTTCTGAGTGGAGGAAACTCAGACCCGGGCCCCCACCTGCTCTCCTTCCTGCAGCAGAAAACTTCTTGGGCAGCTTAGCAGCACAGGAAGGATCCAGATGTGCTGCAGTGCCTTCCATCTGAATGTAGCCTCACCATTAACTGGGCTGCCAGTGTCTCTGCTGCAGCTCCTTCTTCCCAGGACGCTGTGGCCATCGTGGGAGAGCAGTGGCAAGCAGAGGGCAGGAGTGAGCCTGAGGCTGTCCCACACCATATGCAGCCAGAGCAGCCCTTCTGCCCTTTGCCTGCTGCCAGAAGAGAGATTTTTCTCTCCATTTGACATCTGCTCTATCCTTGAGCAGGGAAGGGCTTTGCTGTGGAGTTTTACTCTGGTGTTTGAGACTGAATTAAAAAAAATAGAAGCCCAATGTAAAAGATAGCCAGAAGATTTCTGCAGCTTTAAGAACAGCTTAAATGTGAGCCAAATATGCCCACAAAACAATTTCTGCCTGTGCCTGCAGGCAGACTCTGCTTCAGCTGGAAAGGATGGCAGTTTCCATACCTTTTGATGCAAATTTAGGCTTTGCTTACATCATGTAAAGCATTGCTCTGGAGAGATAGCTGCAGTACCTCTAGCCAGTCCAGCTGGAATATGCCTATGGGGTTCTTCATTACACAATCCATCCTGAGTTCCCAGGACTGCTAATGTATTGTCTCCTGCCGTTCTTTACACAGACCACATTGCCTTAATCTGTGGTCTCAGCCGTTCTCCCTACGTCTTCCCAGCTTTCAGGAGGTGTTTTTTCACCTTTGCACCAGTCAAGGACTCCAGAACCCCCTGGATAACTCCTGCTGGCCAGAGCTAAAGCATCTGGTGTTGAGAAATTCTGGTGGTTTTGGTCCATCATCTGCACCAAGCCTTTTCTGCTAATCTTTTAAGGTGGCCAGTCCCCATGAGAGGTGCTGTCTCCCTGCCTACTGCACAGTGAATCCTGAAATCAACTTCCCTGGTTACTGCAAATCCTGGGTGCTTCCGTGGGTGTGCTGGATCATCAGGCCCTATGGTCCTTTTGTCACATCACCCTTTTGGAGCTCAGAGGTGAAGGGACGCAGTGGTGGTGATACTGCAGTTTCTCCCTGTGAACTTGCCCCAAAACAAGAGTAGTCTAAAATGAAAAATGTATTTCAGAGGAGATTTTGGCTGGTCTAGATCTGGAAAGCTTTGCTCTGATAAAATGCCTGCCTTGTGTCTCCCTGTTATGTCAGGCCTGACTTCTCTGTCATCCTTAATACCCTAGTACTTAACAGACCTCCAGTTCATTTTCTTTCTGCTTTGCAGGCTCCACATGCCCCAGGGAACAAACAGCACCGTGTGCCTTGGTCAAGCCAAGCACTACCAACTGTGCCAGCAGCAGGTGAGAGCCACTTCCAGTACTCATCCTCACTGGGGAACGTGGGCTGCTGGGGGGTCACATTTGGAGCTGCAAGAGCACCAGCTCTCAGGGTGTGACTGGTCCATCAGAGGGGTGCAGACAAAGGGTACAGTCCATTCCTGGAGTGGTTGATGGTGGGGTCTTTGAAGGTGTGGGAAATGGGCTCTACTCTGGTACTGAGAGGTGGAGGAATAGGTTATAAAAGCCTATTTGTTTTGGGGTGTTGGGAGGGAAGACGTTTTTCCCTTTGCTGGAAGTAATATTTGCAGGACTGTTAAATACAGCTCTCTGAGGGGCCCTTGACAGTGGTGGCCTGGCCTTTCTGCCTGCATTATGGCACTTTAAAGTCCATCACTGATTCCTTCCAGGGTGGAGAGGGCATTTTCATCCTCCAAGGATGCAGCAGGGACAAGCAGCTGTCACAGCCATGGCTGTGACATAGGGAGCTTTTGATCACATTTATTCCCTCCATAGCCCTGCCCAGCCAACACAGCAAGCTTCAAACAGCAGCAGTGCTCCAGTTTCAATGCCAAAGCCTTTGGGAAGCGCTACTACCACTGGATGCCCCTCTATCCAGGTGGGTTTTCACAGCTCACACAAAGGATCAGGGTGAGAAAACACCCACAGGGTCTTCTCAGACACAGGAGAAGGGGAAGGTCCCAGGGGGCAAGGGATGGATGCTCCTGGCTGGTCTGGAAGTGCTTCCCCTATGCTCCCTGCTTTGGAGAAATCATTCCCTGTCTCTTCACAGAACCGCTCCACCCAGCCAGGCCTCCTCTCTCACCACATTGCTCCTGTTTTGGATCCTACATCAGCAACCACTGGTGGGCAGACAGGACACAGGCTTCTCTGAGTTGTCTTGGCTAACCAGCAGTCATCTTGGCAGAGTGGGTGTTCACGCTCTTTGTGCCTTCTACCATTTTGGCTGCCTTTGTCACCCAGCATGCTTCCCACTGGGTTGGTAGTGGGTTGTTCTGAACAGGATGGCCATCCATTTCCTGCACAGGCAAGGCAAATTGCTTCACATGGGTTACCAGATGGCCCTTGAGGCCCAGATTGAGCTCACCTAAGGTACTACTCTCTTTCTAGACCCACCTGTTTTTCCATTAGCTGCCAAGGGGGACATAAAACATCTGCATCTCTAGCTTCGGCTGCTCAGCTGGATGGGGTGTAGCTGGCTGTGACCCCACGCAGTTGGTACCCCTCTTACAGGCTTTGTGCATTTGTGTGGCCTGGGATCTGCTGATACAGATTCCCATGTCTAACACAGGGGATGGCACTGCAGAGGGGAGAGGGTATGGCAAGGAACAGCATTTGCCAGCATGGTCCCCAGCTGCAGCCTCATACCATGTCCCCTTTACTGCTACAAAATCTGTAGCTTTGGGGTCTCATCTCAAGCAGCAAGAACATCCAAGGTGATACCAAAACATCAGTATGGATAAGAGGAAAGTCCCCTTCCTCACTGCCCATCTCCAAGCACCTTGATCTGCCTGGTGACTTTCTGCTTCTTTCCCTTCAGACGACTACACCAGTATCTCCAACAAGCCATGCGACCTCCAATGCACCACCCGGAGTGGAGAGAGGCAGCTGATGGCCCGAGCACAGGATGGTACCTCCTGCAAGGACAGGACCTATCAAGGGGTCTGCATCAATGGGAAGTGTGAGGTGAGACTCTGGGAGGAAGGAGTACAGAAGTTGTGAGTGTAAGTGCATAGCTAGATTTCCTGGTCATTGCAGGGCCAGGGTTCCCAGCAAGGAGCTGAAACTGAGATCTGGTGTGGAGTAATTACATTCACTCTTGAATGCCTGTGGGCTAGAGCAGAGCAGGGAGGCTCACACGAAAGGAATTAGGTACATCTACATGTTCCCATTGAGTGGCAGCATTTTCCTCCCAGCATAGAGAAGACTAGAACTGCAGATTTGTTTTCATAGTCATCCAATATACATAAAAAATAAAATCTTACATTTGATTTTTCCCTCAAATGGCAAAGATGAAGGGTTGTTGTATTTAGTGTCACAGGGAGGTACCTTACAAGCTCAGGCAGGCCTGCCGTTGATGCAGCATCTCCTGGAGGGCAGTGTTGTATATCACTATGTCTGCGAGGAGGACTGGCCTAAATGCGGAGACAGAAGGAACACCAAAAGCTTACCCCAGGCTCACTCCACTCACCTACTCACACAAGTTCCAGAATCCCCAGGTTCAGGCACACAATGTAGATGGTCAGAAATTACACAGGTGAATTTCTGCTGCTATTGGATTAATTTGTTACTCCACTCCAAGCTAACGTACATGCCCTGCCTAACGTCACCAAAAGAGCATGTCTTGAAAAGACCCTGTCCTGTGGAGAATAGCTGGCCCCAGAAAACCCTCTCTTGTTTTATTCTTTGCAGCCAGTTGGGTGCGATGGGAGCCTGTACTCACCCCGGACGATGGACAGATGCAGGGTGTGTGGAGGGGACGGCAGCACTTGCCACCGTGTCTCGGGCAGCTTCCGAAAGGCAATCTCACAGATAGGTACTCCCTACTACCACAGTTCGGAAACTTCACCTGCTACTTCTTACCACCAGCTGGCATAAAGGGTGACTGGCTTGAACGTGGGTAGGAGTTTCCCAGCTGCTTGGTGGAAAGACCTGAAGAGTGCCCCCCCACCTTAGATTCCTGTATTTTGTCCTTTTCCCTTAATCATCAGAGGAGATTGGTTTTATGTGCTGTGTATTAGGCTGGTAAGGTTTCCCTTCACCTCTTTACAATAGGAAGCGGCTGGGGATCTATTTGTACCTATTGATTTTGGCATCTTGCCCACCTCAGATAATGTGAAGAGATCAATTAATCTTCTTTTATTTGTGCTACGTGTTCATTTGAAACTTAAGCTCCTGTGATGAGGGTCGAAGTGTTTGTTGCAGCCTGCACTTAGTCTCCTCCCTTCCCCAGTCCTATGGCAGGCACAGCTGAGGAACAGTCTGTCTGAAACTGGGCTGAGATTCGTCATAACCTTGTGGCCCAGACCTCCACCCACAGAAGGAATTGACTGTGGTATGCTCATTAGTAATTAATTAACTGTGGTTTGAGGATGTTTTGGGACATCATTTCACACTGTTTCACTAGTCTACCTCGCTGTCTAAAGAGATCAGACTAGAGAAGCACTCGTGCCCTTTTCCAGAGCAGGGATAATGGTGCTAACCCCTCTAGCAGTAGAGTTTTGGCTGCCTGTTCCAGTCCTTATAAAATCTTACAGAACGGACAAGACTTGCATTTCTAGCAGGAAAGACAAGCTGCCAAACCACATAATTTAAGAGCCTTCTTATTTTCTCTCCCTTTAAAGGTCAATTTTTATGCTACTCCCAAGACAAATTCTGCTGAGTCAGGAGCTGAGGGGACCTGTGGTCTTTTCCAGCCTCTCTTCACCATCAGCCCTGATCACTATTAAGCTTTTTCTGTGCTCTTGCCAAAAAGAGCGTGAGAGCACATTCATCCACACACCTAAAGCCAGACTTGTTCTAGTGCAGTTCTTTCCTGACTCCAAAACCAGCAGTGCTCCCACTGAGTGTTAGAGACCTGCAATGGTGATCTGTAAAGCGTCTTCAGAGGGGAGCTGGAATTAGGGCTCAGACTGGTGCAAAATGCATTTGAGTCCTTAGTGTCCTGCCCCTGAAGGGCAGCACTGCCCTCCTACACACACACTTACGCCACGAGCTGCTTTTCCTACCTAGACCTTTTTATTCTGTCCTCGGGATTTCCTCACCCTCTGTTCTGTTCCCATTCCTCAGGTTATGTGTTCATCACCAACATCCCTGCTGGTGCCATGGACATCCTCATCATTGAGCGCAGGAAAACAGAAAATATCCTAGGTAAGCAAAGCAACCAGACAAACGTGGTTCAGCTGCCTGGGAGGTGGGCTCTGTGCACTCCCATCTGTGCTGTGAGAGAGCTATTTATGAACATTTCCTCCAGGGTAGCACAGGGGCATTTCATCTCTCCATAAACCAAGGCTACCACATCTTCAGCAGCAGGAGGGACATTTGGAAACTGAGCTTACTATGGGCAGTCCCTGTTGGGAAGACATTTGTGCTCTTCTTGGAGAGGGAAGTGAAAGCAGCCGACATTGAACAGTGCTGATCTGACCTGATGCAGAAGATGAATACTGGAGGGCCTGCAGTTCTTTTTCTATCAGGCTTTTCTCAGTCATGAGTTGTTTGCTCTCCTCAGTGCCAGTGCAGTCCTGGTGTTCTGCATAGAGTATCACATTTGTCCCTTTTCTCTCTCTTTGAAGCGCTCGCAGATGAATCCGGGCATTTCTTCTTCAACGGCAACTCTGCCATTGACAACCCCCAGAACTTCAGGGTAGCTGGCACGATCTTCAAGTACCGGCGGCCCTCAAGCCTGAACTCAGATGGTCTGGAGTATATCATAGCTCATGGACCCACTAACCAGTCTCTGAATGCCATGGTATGTGAGGAGCAAATTTTAGGCTTTCCTGTCTTGCCTGTCCCAAAGTTGTGAACCTCCCTCAGAAAAAGAGGATATGAACCTGGTTCTCAAGCCAAACCCAAGTATCTAGGTGGTTGAGGAAGCCAGATATTTTCTGAGGTGGGGGGAAAGTTGTCTTGGATTTACGAAGATGCTTTCTTCTCTTAACATCCATCACAAAATGGATGTGGCTAGAAGAGATCTCTGGGAAAATACATGTCCTTAAAATAAAAACAGCTTTGTTTTCTTTCCCTGTTTCCTTCAGTACTATAACTTTAATGGGAAAATGCCACACGTAACTTATGACTACACTGTACCACGGACACCTCCTCTCCGAACTGCGGCCCCTGCTGTAGACAGACCTCTCTATCATCACCTACCAGAGACCAGCCAGAACCATCCTATTCCAGCCAACTCCAGAGCAGCCCAGGACTTCAATGCAACATGGCTCTCCCTGTCGCCAGATGACACTAGTGAACAGCTTCCTCTGAGAGAAGGGCATGAAGATTTAGGCTTCAGCCATCCACACTTCATGCAGACCAACTCCACCAGTCAGACTCAGGACTGGGGCTGGGAACAAGGTGAAGAGAAGAAGTATGACTTCCAGATAAGACACGTCTACCATGCAAACACAGCAGGAGAGGAAGAGGAGGAGGAAGCAGCAGCAATTCATGGAGAAACAGAGTTAGGTTGGTTGATTTTTTTTTTTCCTTCTTTCGCATTTTATTCATTGAAAGCAGACATCCCATGCTGGTCTTCCTGAAAACTAAAGTGGCTTTACCATCAGAGCACACAGGAGGGAACCATGGTTAATAGGCTCTCAGAGAGCAGCAAGGGCCAGAAGCTCTGTAAGGGAAGGGGAGCTGGGAGAGGGTGGCCATGATACAGATCAGGCAGGGCAGTCCCACAGCACCTGAGCTTGGCAAGCAGGGCAGTGGCAGCAGCAGGTACTAGCAACAGTCTAGTGATCATCAGGTGAAAGCAAGGTTGCAAGTCAAATCTGAGGTCAATCTGAAAAAAAACCCAACAATTCAGGAACAAACGACACCTGCAACATTGCTCAGGCAAGGACAGAAGGCCCAGGCCTGAGCTTAAGTAGAGCTGCTGAGCAACAAGCAGAGAGTGTGTGAGGTTGGTCAGGGCAGGTAAGGGCTGTCGGTGCACCTTCATGGCAACTTATGATTTTAAGGCCAGATGGCGAATGGTTTTTGCCTTGTTAAATACCATGTGCTGAAGTATAAGCCAACTAATATAGTTAAGACATCCCTGTATTTTTCTTCCAGCTCTCAGATTCAATCAGATTTCCATCAGCACAGCTGTACCCTACAGCATGAGGAGATCCGAGCTCTTGGAGAACAGCCGCGTAGCATCCTCCAGGCTTCGTCTCTTCAGGCGACTGTGTCACCGAGACCCACACAGCACTGCCTTCTGTAGGGAGCTGCAGCGCTTGGCAGCCAGGCTGGCCCTGAGGAACTCCACAGCAGGACTATGGGCAGAGACAGCTGCCCCACGGCCACAGGGCCTCCACAAAGCGCCAGCCCGTAAGAACTCACTGGAGGACTTGAAAGTGGAGGCTTTTGCTGGGAGTCAGGGGGAAGCAGCCAACTACAGCATGATGGCATCTGTGGAGAGCCCTCTGCTAAGTGCCAGCCCAACCACGGACATCAGCCAGGCAGAGCCTCTGCAAGCCCCTGGCACTGAAAGGTGGCACTTGATTTCCTGGGCAAAACAGGAGCATAGTTAGCCGGGGAGGGAGGGTCGAGCCAATCCTGTGGTAGTCTCACTGCTGTCCTTGATGTCCCCATTCTTCAGCATTTATCCATGCAGCTGCTGTAGATGTTTGACCAATGGTGTGTCCTCCAAAGACTGGCACAACTGACTTGACACAGAGCTCCCAGAATGTATTTTGCCTGCCCCACCCCCCCACTTCCATTTAAATCCTCTTTAAATGGGTTTTGAAGGACCTGAGTAGCCAACACTAGTGCAAGTGTAAAACAGGCCAGGAGTCTATAGCACATCGCATACATGCACACACACGTGTGTACCAGCACAGCATGCCCCTTTTATCCCATTCTTCTGGACACACATGCCTCTAACTTCAGCAAACATTTGGCAGGAAATGGAGTGACAGCTTTTAAACATTTCTGGCAAGCCACACGTAAACTCTCCCACCACATTATATAAGAGGGACCTTGCTTGAGCTTTGCTTTCAAACTTATGTTATACCTCCTAAGGTGATAATAAGAACTGAGGCTGAGGGCACCCACACACTTGAAAGACCATAATATGGACAAGTCTCACTGTAAACGATACCTTCTCTCAGAGGAGGGTGTAGATCCATGGCTTTTCCTGGCCTTGCTAGTTGGATTCATGAGGTGGATCAAGACTTTACATTCTGTTCATCAGTGGTCTCTTTTACCCAAGTTGAGGGACATGGAGAGCAGAAATACTGGGTTTCTTCCCATCTTCAAAGACCGTAAGGAAGAAACTAAATATATTTCTTGTTAGCAGCAATTTTTCACTTTTAGCTCATGCGGCTTCCTTTTTTCCCCGCAGCAATGAGTTTGATGTGAGCCCCGTGGGCCATGACGACATCAGCTTGGCTGACATGTATCGGTGGAAAGTCTCAGCTTATGCCCCCTGCAGCTCCACGTGCACTTCAGGTAGGTTTGGCTGCAGGCAGCTGATCATGTGAGGTCCTTTTTGGCTGTTGATGGAGAGAATACTGGTACTTCTTTAAAATGGCAGGTAGAGTTTCAGATGCAGTGAGCACTCCAGTAATTTAATCATAGTGGGAGGAGGCTTTTGGATCTGATGGAGCCTGACTAAGAGAGGGTCTTGATTGCCCAGCAGGTATCAGCACCTCCTATGTGATGTGTGTCCGATACGACGGAGTGGAAGTGGATGAAACGTACTGCGATGCCCTAACCCGACCAGAACCTACTCATGAATTTTGCACAGGGAGAGATTGCCAGGCTAGGTGAGTGAAAATGACGTCAGCTGTCCATGGGGACAACGTATCTTTGTAATGAATGTTTTCTGCACAAAGTATACAGCCATTTCTGGGCTGGAAGATACGCTTAAACAGCCAAGCCCTTGTAGCCCCTTCTAAGCAAAAAATGGGAAGGAATTTGCTGTCTAGGTTGCCTGCTAAGGGCAAAGTTGAATTTCAAGACCAACATCCCCTTAATACAGACATATGCAGGATGAGCCCATTCATAGCAGCAGCTACTGGGTGAGGGAATCCTAGGCGTGCAGGCACTCCCCAGCCACACCATGTCCCTTGTCCTCCTTACTGAGGGTTTCCTTTGTACTTTCTCTCCTGGGGACTGCTCGTGGAGGTGGGAGACCAGCCGGTGGAGTGAATGTTCCAGGACCTGTGGTGAGGGCTATCAGTACCGCACTGTGCGCTGCTGGAAGATGCTGGCTCCAGGCTTTGACAGCTCCGTTTATGATGACCTCTGTGAGTCCGCTGGGCTGGCCAGGCCCATGGAGAGGAAAGCCTGCAAGAACAAGGCCTGTGGGCCCCAGTGGGAGCTCTCCGAGTGGTCCGAGGTAGGCAGCAGGGGAGCTTTGCTCTCAGAGGTAAGCAGCCAGGGCTTTGCTGGGGCCTGGAGGAAGGTGACCAACAGATGTTGGGTCATAGGAAGCCCCTGGTGAACTGCATACTGGGGAAACAAGGACTGCCTTTTACCCACTGCTCACCTGTTCTGGCACTGCCCAGCAAACAAAGCCCATTACAAAAGATTTTTTCTAAGGCTACTTCTTAAGCAGGATGTCAAACAAAAGCCCCATCTTTGCCTCCTTGTTCCAAGGATTTAACTAAGGGCAGATGGGAAAACAGCATAGAGACAGGAGATAAAACCCAATTGAAGTCCCTTTGATTGACTTCCCACAGCCTGCTTGGGACTGGGACAGTGGAGCTGCCCAGTGTCTGAATAGCAGTCCAGGCCTCAGCATCTTGGAGCATTGGAGCTCTAGGACCCAAAGTAATTAAGCAGCAGAGAGAGAGACAGACCTGCCAGTTTCTGTCCCTGCTGGGGCCCTTCCCCTCTTTTCTAGTGCAGCAGGAGCAAAACTGGAGGAGGCGTAGCTGGCTTCCTCACCTTTGCTCGTCCCCCTTGTCCTCTGCTTCTGAGCCCTAGCACTGACTCTGTGGCCATTGCAGTGTTCAGCCCGGTGTGGCACGCAGGGGACGATGAAGCGGGAGGTGCGCTGCTCGGTGGAAGCACCCCTCTGCGACGAAGCCCAGAAACCCAGCAGCGAAAAGGCGTGCACAGGCCCACCCTGCGATCGCCGCTGGACTGCTTCGGATTGGGGCCCGGTGAGTCCGGAGAGTCTGCTGCTCCTTGCACCCGATGCCGGGGGTGCAAGGCGGGTGGGAGGGAGCAGGTAGGCAGTCACACTACTGCTCTTTTGGCTTTCTTCTGGCAGAAGCTAAGCTAAAGAAACTAGAATAATCTCTAATTTTGCTTCTCCATGCTGTAAATTTTGATAATCTGGGAAGCAGATGTACCTCTAAAGACCCTTGGGATCCAGTTCCACAGTCCCAGTGACTGCGACCCCTCCACCTTCCTGCTGTGTCTAAATGCCCTTTATTCCTCCAAGTGCTCAGGTTCATGTGGCGAGGGACGCATGAGCCGCTTCATCGCGTGTCGCAACCTGGAGGGGAAGGTGATCTCTGACTCGCAGTGTGACCCAGCCACCAAGCCACTGGCTGTTCATCCTTGTGGAGACAAGAATTGCCCTGCACACTGGGTGGAGCAGGAGTGGGAGCAGGTAAAGCCAAGCTCAGCCCAGTGTCCTCAGCCCTCTTT